CCTTCCAAATCAAAATACGGTGATGGTTCCCCGTAAAACTAGAAGTCATTGTCGCTCAAAAGAAAACCCCGCTAAGTCAAAACCTATGAAGAAGACTTAGGGAAAAAACTGGGGCATCCCGCTGACTGTAATCACAAAAGAAACAGTTCAGGCAAAATTTATGGATAATCAAGTCAAAAGAGGTCGCTACAAATCCTCAACAAAAGAAAAAATGTTACAAAAAATTACGGTTTTGATTGTTGATTTTTCTAAATTCTAATTGATCCAAACTTTTTCACACATTTAGGCACATGTATATAGGAGTTTTGAAAGCTCATTTGATGTATTGTTGTGTCCATTTGGTCTATGTTTGAGTTAGATTTTGTTTCCTAATTTGCTTGATTAATGTGTGAAATATTGATGGATGTTTGATGGTTTGTATTGAGCAATTATTGCATACCTTTAGACACATTTAAGAAATTTATAAGTGACTGACTTCATGATGTATTGATGATTTTTAAACCTGTTTTTTGAGGTCTTCTAAGTGTTTTTTATGCTTGACACAATGCATGCCTAATTGAGTAGATGTTTGTGTACATGTATGAGTTGTTTAGGGATGCACTTGTTCAATCATTAGGGTTTTGATTTTCACTTGGTTTCGAGTTGTTTTCGTGATGTCTTAATTTTCATCTATACTTGATTTACCAAATACTTTACATTGATGATGAATGTTGAAAATATTTGAAGTGATGGTTACATATTCTTGTGGTGTGAATTTTGGACATTGTCTTGTGTATTTGTTCTTAATGTTTGGAAACTTTGAATGACACAAATGCCATGATCTCACCTATGAGTTATTTGGTTTGGATACCTCATTTAATTATCTTATTTTATCATTTTATTAACATGTTGATGATGATTCATTTAGTTAATACGCTAGGGTTCGATTGCTAAGTACTTGACCCTCTTCTGTGCATGAATACTTGATGTTTTTAAGACATGATAGATATGGAATACATTGAGTATGCTTATTACTTGTGTCATCTAAATCATTTGTCATATGTTTACTTGATCATTTCTTTTCAATGAATGGGTGATTTCTCCTAAGGATGACATTGTGTGATGGTATTACTTAATCTTCTTGATCATTATTGAAAGTAATGGTTGCGTGAGCTTTTGCAAACTTTGATACATGTTCTTAATTCATCCTTTACTTAATTTATATATTATCAAGTGTCATGTTTTTCCCTTATTGCTTTGATCTTCTTTGGTTTAGTCTTTAGAGACTAGTTTTGGGTGTTTGGATGTTTCTTTGACCTAATTCCTTGTGTGATGTTTATGTGACTCTTCTTCACCTTTGAGGCATGTTAATTTGGATTTCATGAAGTTTTCTTATTGACTTGTTTAAATCTTGATCTTCCTTAATTTATATAGTCTTTGTGTGCTAAGTTGTGATGTATGCTTGATGCCTTAAGCCTTGTTTGTTTAGGCAATATTTTTGTACTTTTGTATAGGTATTAGAACCTTTAGCCTTGAGATCTTTTGAGCATAAACCTAAGGGATTGTAGTGTGTGTTTGAGTCTCTTATTTAATACATCTTTTCTCATTACATGGTATACTTGAAGCATGTTTAGAATTTAGGCTTTTGCTTGTTTGTAATTTATGGTTGATGCACATTTGCTTCATCTTTCTTCATATTTCTTTGATTGCTTGTGTGATGGCCATGCCCCCTTAGGAGTTTGATTCCATCTTGTCCAAGATGTGAATTCATTAGATCCTAGGTTCTAAATCAAGCATGATAACATTAGGTAGAAGTTTCCTAATCCTTAACCCTAGGTCCATCTTGCATGCTAACATTAGGTAGTCTTCCCCCTTTTATCCAAACTCTCAGTTCATAATGCTTGACAATATTAGGACTTGAGTTTCCCTTAAAAAAATTCTCTTTCCCTTTTGCATTTGCATATTTAAGATTAAAACTTTTTTTTCTTTATCAAAAATCTAAAAATACTTAACAATAAAGATACAAATCATATGTCACGAGTCTTAAGTGGTGGAAAAAGGATGAGGCGGTACATTTTGAACCTTGTTATTTCTTTCATCCATTGTCTTTAATATGATCCAATTCACAACTTTTTAAATATAAATGGAGAAATAGTAGGTGTCCTTACATTGGGATCCATCTGCTATCATCCCAACAAAAATACTCAATCAATTCAAACCTTTTTGTCTTCGGACCTTTTTTCTTTGAAAAACCTTTTTCATAAAGAACATGTTAATTCCTTTCTACGACAAGTGCATGAGTCTCCAAAGGTCGAGTTGCATTAGAATTTGAAATTAAACATTATTCATTAAAAAAATACACAACATACCAATTTTTTAGAAGAACTACGGTGTTCTGATTCCTTCGTCGGATTCGTAGGCACTGAGTTGCAAAATTAAGACGAATGCAATAATAAAAACTTTCTTTTTTTGTTCTTTAATAATTCATTCATTCATTCCTTTAGTAAGTTAAGTCTTTAGATAACACACCATTTGATTAGAACAAACATAGTGGATCTCGTTGAGTACAACAGATGATTAGGTTGCTAATACTTTCTTTTTGCATAACCGCTCTCATACCTTGATCTCTATTTTATTTTGGGTTTTTATTCGCTCTTTTTCTATTTCCTCTTGAAAACAATAAAGTACGGTGACGACTTTCACTTTGTGAGAAGTCAATCAATGGCTTAATCTCAACTTTTTACCGCTACACATGGACTTCGAATTTTTTACCCAGATATTTCTTAATCCACAAGTTGAGGGCTGTGTAAAAATCTCCTTAAATCTTGGAACAAAATATCAAGTTTCATAAATTGTCTCAACATCCAATTTTAGAAATTTATGTACAACTGAAAATCAAATCAATTGTTCTAGATTAAATCTTCTTGACATGCGCAAATAATTGAGATATATCCAAAAGGAATCTCACATAGTCAAATCAAATTTGTCAAAAATAAAAACAGCATATATTGATGTTCTGGTACAACATGTCACAACATCTGTCAAAACATACATCTTCAATGTAAGATGAACAACATGTTAGAACATCTCATACAACATCTTGTTGTGAATCATGTTTTAGCAAAATTGCTACAAATCCTAAAACTATAAATCTAACACCTATAATTATTGACGATTGCAAACTTTCTTGCAAAGTAACTCGTGATAGATTCAACCTTAATCATGCCAAGAATCTCAAAGTCTCTGTGAAATTCTTTCAATTAAGCACACTTAACCTTAGTTCAACCTAATACTATTTGTACATGGAGTCCCAAAAGCCATTTGTTGTGTTACACACTAAAATTGTCTTCAAGATAAATTGATCAATAGAAATAATTTTTCACCTTTAAATCTTTGAGTTTGCTATTATTCACCTAAACTTGCTCGTGAGTGACATTTGGAGGTGCCGTAGTAACACTATCTTTGATTAAGCTCCAATATTCTTTTGAACACAACAAATTCTCCAATAATTCTTACCAATGAACATAAAACCCATCAAACTTCGAAATTGATGGTTGAGCAAAATGAAAGTGTGTCTCCATGATCAATGATTTAAGGTTGTGCAAACAAAGATAGAAGAACTGAGTTCTTGATGAATTCTTGATGACTTGTAACTAACTCAATGGTTTGCAACCTACTTGTCACTAACAAAATTGTGCTTAGTTTGAGAGTAACCATCAGGACCCAGCGTGGGCTCCTTATACTAATTGTGAGGTAATATGTGTAGTCTCATTATTTAGGATGAAGAACACATGGTATATATAAACTATCATAACAATTGCTAGCTTAAAGGTTGCTTGGATCACAAGTAAGCAGCCTAAACTACAAATAAATCCACGTCCTGACAAAAATGATAGCCTCTATAATATTAGTACTTCATTTCATTCCAAAGATCAAAATATCTTCCTACAAAAAAAACTAGGTTTTTGAGCAATTTTAGAGGCAAGCATATTGATGATAAAATTGCATAATTTATGGTTCTTAATGCAATTGAATAATATTTTATTCTTGGATCTAAAATCATCTTACTAATAATTTCCAATTATCCAAGGTGTTTCCAACATATTATCTGACACATAAAAGCTCCTAAACTAGAAAACATTGCCCAATTGATCCTGCAATTCTGTTCTTCGTCAAAATTCGAAAAACATGCAGAATTTAAATAAACTAGTGCAGACTGCTTGATTCAAATCTCCTCATCACACTAATATTGCATAAAAAAACTTAGATACGAATCCATATTCAAACTAGAAACACCACAAACAACACACTACATGTAACACTTTTTCAAATCATTTTAACATATATATATTTATTCAACTTTATTCCAAAAAATCACGTCCCATAATATAAAAAATCATTCACCCAAGAAAAAAAATACCCCTTCCCACTAACTATAATGAAACCAAAAACTCAAATTTCAAATCAAAGCATAACTCAATGTTCCCAATCTATAATGGACGGTGACCTGGTCCCCAAACTCATTCCTCACACAAACAACACCATTTTACTTTCTCTTTATCTTTACATTTTACACCGTAGATAAACAAAATCACACAATAAATAACTTTATAAAACATAAATAAAAGCATCTAAAAAATTCAAAGATATCATCTATTCTTTTGCCACTTACCTGCCTCATACGTAATCCAATTTCCACCTTCTAGACCACCCTATCACATACAAAATTCCAATGCATAATAAAATTCATCTACAAAAAAAAAAAAAAAACCAGAATCTGACATCTACAAAGAGACAAATAAAAGAATAATAAAAATTAAATTAAATATATAAATTCAATAGAATAAAATAAAATTTGCAGAGTGAAGAAGAGCCCAACAACAAAAAAATGCCACTATCCATGTGGCCATGACATGTACATCACCTAGGTAATTTAAAAAATATATATTTTTATGTTTTCTTTAATTATTTTTGTGATGAACATGCATCATCATCATCATCATGTGATTATGAAAACCCAACTAAGATAGATAAATCTCAACCGTCGAATTTTTAACGGTGAGACAAACGGGACAAACACGGAAACGCGCGTCGCATTCGGTGCAAACACATAAATGACGACACGGTAACACCACAACCGACGCAACCCGTTTTCCACACCCTCTACATTTTGGACCCGAGAGAACCCTTTCCGGGTCAATATAACCCGATTCCGCATCTTCCGCGGCGCACGACAGCCCGCACCCTTCTTCACCTCTGTTTTCTGCGCCGGTGCACATCATAGCCTGATGCAGCTGCGTTTGAAGAGAAATGGCCGTTGCTTCCTGCGCTTTTGCTTTTGCTTGCCAAATTTGTGATTCGGCTCTAAGCTGGGCGGCGCGTGATTCTAACTCTATGTTCCTGCGCGTGGCTTTTTCGACTTCGATTTCTTTTTCTCTTAATCTACGCGCCACCGTTTCTTCCGCTGTTTTTATTATTGCTTGGTAGTTTCTATGTCTTTTTCCCTCTAATGTCCTTTGTAACTCTTCTCCCTGATTATTAATAAATAAATAAATAATATTAATTTTTCTGAAAATTTTATAATTTTAAATTAAAATGATTAAATTTCATAAATATATACCTGAGCTTGAAGAAATTGGTCTATTTCGTCTTTTTGTTGTTTGATTTGTGAGGCTAGGCCATGAGACAATAGAGATAAGAAATGAGATGTATGACACCCATGTTGTTGTTGCTGTTGTTGCTGCTGCAGCAATTGTAGTCTTTGTTGTTGATGTTGTTGTTGTTGATGTTGATCGCCGAAGGATAAACCTAAACCGGTAGAAACAATTTGTTGTTGCTGTTGTTGTTGATGATTGTGGAGTTGGGTGATGTCTATGAGATGAGGAGAATGAGATTGTGAAGAGAATGGATTCATGATATTATGAGATGGTTCTCTTCCTCTTTTTCGAGAGTTAGTGGCTGTTTGTTTGAATGGGTTAATAATTTATGTTTGAAATCAGACAGATATTTAAGGAAGAAAAAAATGTTATGAATAGATAATACATACCTGGAGTGTTGAACAAGATCATATTTGATTGATCAGGTTGTTGTTGTTGTTGTTGTTGTAATGAGAAATTAAATTCAGCATCTTGTGGGGTGTTTTTGGTGTTGAGAAAGAGTACATTGGAAGGGTATTGAGCTTGAACAGCCATTGAATATGAATAGGTAGGAGATAGAGAGAGAAAAAGAAGTTTGTGTGTGTGGGAAATTGTGATGGTTTAGGAATAAGGTGGGAAATAGATGAAGGAATTAAAGGAGGAGGAAGAGTAGTAATGAGAAACGCATAATAAGAATGAATGAGAGAGAAGATGGGGTTGTTTATGTAAGGAAAGACGGACTCTTCAATAACGGAGAGGACCAAAATTAAATAAATGAATTGAAACAACAACAATTACAACAACACCAGGCACCACCACTAGTACTATGTTTGTTTCTTATAGTTCATTGTTTTCACCTACTTTGCTTTCTTTTCAAAATACAAAATCACATTTGTTTGCTTCTATTCTTCTACCTTTTCTTTTCTTCACAAACAACAACTAATGTCCCTTTCTTCATTATTGTTTTCCTTACACCTATTTTTTTTTTTTCAATCATATCCTTTTCTATTAAATTTATACTATTTTTACTTTTACTTTTTCTACTATTATTCAATTATATTTATATTTTTTAACAGAATATTTAAATATAATTTTATAAGTGTGGTTCATATTTTTTTTAATAAAAACATGATAAATATATTTAAATATTTTTTAAAAAATAAAAATCGGAAGAAATTATATATGTGTAAAAATATATATATATATATATATTTATTATATTTTTATTAAAAAAATATAAATCACATTTAAAGAAATATATTTAAATTTTTTCCATTTTCTTATTCAATTATCTATAATTTAAAATGATGGAAAAATATAAAAAAGGTTTAAATAATCAAATGTTGAAATGAAAAAGGGCGTCGAAAGTTTTATGTAACACAATTATTTTTAAATTTAAAAGGAAATTTTATCAAACAACGATATAATTTGTGAAGTTATACGTGATAAAATATTATTAAAAATTAATTAGAATTAATAATCATTTATCTCATGTATTATAGTCGTGTTTTGATTTATTTTCTTTTAAAAAAAATTTTATACATTCATTAAAATGTTAAAATTCTAAATTTTTTACTCTTTAAATACAAATATTATTCTTATAAATTTTTTTTATTTATTCCTTTATTATTACACGTTTAGGAATATCTAAAAAATTACAAAAAAAGAAATAATTAAATAATTTTTTTAAAGAATTGAAAATTGAAACTCTTTTATATTAGAAAAGATAAATGATTATAAACTAAGTATTATAACACAACAAATAAAAATAATAATATTGTATTAAATGTGTGAGAAGACCATATTGCATAAGAATAAAAATAATAACATTTTTTAATATTGGAGTTGCACTTATAATATATAAAAAAAATAGATTTAAGTGATGTAATTATGTAGAGATAAGATTGAGATTACATTATATGAATAGAATTCAAACCAAGAGTAGACGAAAATTAAGAAAGACTATATATATGAGAAAATATTTTAAAATTTTAAAATTATTGAATTGTATAAAAATATACAATATTTGATAAAATATTATAACAAAATTTTATTAATGTAGTTGATTTTACTTAGTTCAGTAAGATATATATTTTTATTCACTAAAGAAAAGTCATCATATCAACGTGAAAAAAATTAAAATGCCTCGAGTGAATAATTTTCTTATCAATTGAGTTAATATTCATTATTATTCATGATATTTTTTACATATTATTTTATCTGAATTTATAAATAAAAAAATGTTAATTTATTAAAAATTCGTGTATATAATTATTAAATTTAAAGGAAAGTTTTTAGTCTAATAATCTTAATATTTATAAATTGAGATATAATTTTTAAATTACTACTTTTTTTACATCTGAGAATTTTTTTTATTTCTTATAGATATTAAAATACTAGTTTATAATCACTCGATATCTGTTTTTGCTATTTTTTATTACCTTTTGGATAATTGAGAGGTTCGTGAACTTATCAGAGAAAACAATGCATTCCCACGTGGAAAATAATATACTACATATCTATTCATCAAAATCTAACATAATATTTTACAGTTTTTATTATAAAAAAAAAAAAAGTCAATTACCTATGCCAACTATATAGAGTAACTGTTTTCAAAGTTATTCACCAAAGTTACCATCAATTGTTTTTCATTTACATCGTTTAAAATAAGTTCTTCATTAATAAAATATATCACGGTATTTCCTAAGTGTTTAAAAAGGTAGTAAATATGAATAAAATTTTGTTTTTCCTTTGATGGTATTTCTTTACAAAATTAAATGCTCATTTTAAAATCCAAATAACAGTTAATACAATCGTAAAGTCTTAATTAAGAAATTTGATTAAAAAAAATAAAACGTCTTTTCTTTTAATTTTGTTATCTTTTATTTATATTATAATTAAATAAAAACTTTTACTAGGTTGAGTGTTCAATACTATAATAATAGCTTTGTGAATTATTTTCATAGAAACTACTGATGATTGATGAACAAATCAAATTATATCCTATTTAATTGCAATATTGTATGAGTTATATTGATCGATTATTTCTTTCTTTTCTAATTTTTTTACTTCTTGGATGGGATTTAACATAAGACTATTTCAATTAGCCAAAAATTAACTTAGCAAAATTTAATCCCATGGGTAAAATAAAACACATTAGTGATAGAAGAAGTTTTCAAACCAAAATTTACCTGTAACAGAATTGACAATTTTCACAAAAATAAATAAATTAATTAATGCTATTTTGGCTTAAACATTTTGCATCCGTTTACATAATAGTTCATAATGGTTTATTGTCTATTAAAAAATAATTATAAATATTGATACACCTCATTTAACTAAATCAGCAACTCTTATTTTTATTCATTACTATAATATAAATAAATTATTTTTTTAAAACAAATAAAGTTTAAAAATAGTGTATTGTCAGGTAAATTATTTTTATATTATAATTTAATAAAATTATAATCTTTAATTATATTATATTAATATTTTAAAATTTAAAAAAATATTTAATTAGATATATGTTCCTGATTATTAGTTGATTAGTAGTTAATAGTATAAAAATATTTTATCAATGTATTTTTTTCCCCTCAAAATATAGTGATTCTGATTTCTTGAAGTTATAATAAGATACAAGGGAGTAGGTTATGATAGGTTAGTTTTCAGATACACCTAAAAAAATGTAAAGTACAAATATATTAAATGTTAAATAGTTTTAAACTATATTCATAAAAATATTTTATAATAGTTTAAATATTTTAAGTGTTTGAAGATTATCACTATAAAAAAAATCTTATTTACAACGTGAAATTCACATCATAACTTAAAAAATGATATCATTATAATCAATTTGCGATATGAACAGTCACATAATTGACGAATGAATTTTAAATTTTTTGCGATATTACAAAATTATAATGTAAAAATCACGTCGCAATTTGTTTGCACAGAAATCTTATAAATACAATAACAACAGACGTAGCAGACACAAAAGTCAGAGCAACACAAATTTTACTACATAATTTTCACGTTACAAATTAATGACGAAAAAATTACGTCACTAAATAATTATATTTAACAACCAACGTTTATTTATATATATATATATATATATATATATATATATATATATATATATATATATATATATATATATATATATATATATATATATATATATATATATATATATATATATATATATATAAAAAGAATAAAACTAAAATTAATATTATATATATCCAATTAAAATAGTAATAAATTAATTTATTAACAGAATAAAAAATCATAATAGTATTATAAACTGAATAAAATATAAATTATATATAAAATAAAATTAAAATTAAAATTGCATAAATATTTCTTCTTCAATCTCCTTCGATCAATCTTTTTCTTCAATCTTTTTCTAAACTATTCAATATTCTTTAATTTTGACAAAAACAAATAAAACCAAAATTTTAATTAGAAAATATAATAAATAATAAAAAAATTATATAAATATATTGAAATTAAATTATATACATCAATTATCTATATCAATAAAATTGCAGAATTTGAAAAAATTTAGAGAGATTTACGGTGAAGGTGTGGAACAATGAAAAAAAGAGAAGGAAACGAAGAAGAAACAGAAGCACAAGGATGTGGATATGTGAACGAGAGTGTTACATATATATGTCACGCAGCGATGTGAAAATTATGCCGCAACCTTACCACGTGAGATTCACGTCGCAACACACTCGGCTATAAAAAATATTATTCGTTCAGTCTGCACAACTTTAAATCAAATAAATTCTAAATTAGATATTTTTCCCCCTCAAATATTGCAACATGATAATCACGTCACAACTAAATTTTTTAAAATTTTCAAAAATTCCTTTGTCTGAACGTTAGAGTTTTTTTATATTAATTTTTTAGTTACGACGTGAATCACACATCGCAAATATTTTTATTTTAGAAAAAAAACTTTGAATTCCATCACGTTAACCTTATATTTATTTTTTTAATATTAAAAATTTTAGTGACGTGATTATCACGTCGCAATAATCTTCTTTTAATCACGTGATAATTACATCACAATTTCATATCTCTCGAAAAAAAATTGTATAATGTATGCGTAAATTAATTATTATTTAAATATCACAAAATAAATAAATAAATATTTTTCCAAAATTTAACTGTTTGAAATCTTAATTAATTACAATTTATCTATATTAAATTGTAAATCATGTGTAGTAATTTGTCTAGCATTTTTTTAAAGTTAACAAATTTATAGTTTATTTTTTCATTTTTATAATTATATTCAAATTAATAACGTAATATAAAAAAGAAAAACATTTATATGCAAATCTAATATTTATTTATAGTAAAGTTAATTTTCTATTTGTATCTATAATTTATATTTTTATTTAAAACAAGTGGTCGATCTTATTTAATATACTTGTATTGTTGTATTTTCCATATTTAAAAAATCATGTTTTTTAAAACTTGTTTATTTTATATAAGGATAAAAAAATCATAGAGTTTATTCAAATTTACCAATTCAGCTATTTCAT